AAATATTAAAAATGCATATCTTATCTAACATTTAAAAAGGATTAAGGGCTAAAAACACTACAACTATCTTTAAAATTCAACTTCATCAAAATACTAATTGGCAATTATGGATCTAAAAGACTAAAGTTTCAATGGGGCATTAAATTACAATTCATTTTCAATTAATCTGTTAAAAAGAGGGGAAAACATTCTAAATTGGGCCTTAAAATTACAATTAATCAGCTAAAACAGGGTAGAAATTTCTAAATTGGCCATTACAATTACAATTCATAAAGTTTAATCACTTAAAAAGAGGGTAAAAAGTTCTAATTAGGCATTAACATTTAGGTCATTTAATTCTAGTTGGCATTTATGGGGTTAACTGCACCCAGACGGTATCCAGACGGCCGGGGGCCCCCGTCTGGCTCTGCCCTCTCCCACGCCCCTATAAATAACACACGCACACAGAGCTCAGTTTCTTCACTTCTCATATGTCTCCTGAAGAGAAAGCATCTCACCAACAGACTCAAACAAGCCCAGACATATTTTATTTTGTGCCCATAGCCTGAAGAAGACCCACAGCGGTCGAAACGTCGCGACTGGGCACTTTTTTCATCACTTATTCCTCGATTCTTCATTTTCATACACAATTTATTTAGTTTTTTCACTTTTATTTCATTTTATTTCATTTTTATTACACAAAAAAAACAAAAAAGCATAAAAAAATAAGAACAATTCATTTGTATTGTTATACTGTTTTGGTTTTAAATACCTTCATTTCAATAAATAAATAAATTGCATAGATAGATACACCAATAAATAAATAGTTTAGTAATTACACCACATTAATAAATAGTAATAAATAATTAAAAAGATTAAAAAACAATCATGACTTACGAGCATGAACAATGGACTGAAGTGCGGTACGGGAGGCGTGGTCGACGCCCGTACCGCACTAATAATCAGCAGTACCAAACGGGGTCGTGGGGGACGGGGAACAGGGGGATGGACCGTGCACCTCCTGTCTCCTATCCTAGGAGACAGTCCCCCTTTTCCCGTAATCCTAACCCTAACCCCTAACCCTAACCCTAACCCCTAACCCTAACCCTAACCCTAAACCCTAACCCTAACCCCTAACCCTAACCCTAACCCTAAACCCTAACCCTAACCCTAACCCTAACCCCTAACCCTAACCCTAACCCTAACCCTAGGGGTTTTTTAAGACTAGTGTGAGTGTCAGATAGTTTTAGAACTTCAGACTTTGGGTCTGAAATTTTAAATGTCAGTGGTTAAACATATTTTCAATAACAACCTTAGATAGTAGTTTCAAACACTACGGTTAGGGTTAGGGTTATGGTTAATATTAGAGCTGGGTTAGGGTTACACCTAGGGCTAAATAAAAGTTAGGGCTAAGATTAGAGTTAGGGTTATAACCTAGGACTAGGGTTAAACATACAGTTAGGGTTAGACATAATGTTATTGTCAGGGTTAGACCTAGGGTTAGGGTTAAACCCAGGGTTCGGATTAGGGCTATAACTTTTGTTAGGGTTAGGGTAAGGGTTAGACCTACTGTTGGGGTAAGAACTAGAGTTAGGGTTAGACACAGGGTAAAGGCTAGACCTAGGGTTTAGATTAGGTTGAAACGTAGGGTTGGGGTTGGATCAATTTTTGATTTTGGGGCATACAATTCAAATGTTAGTTGTAAGAAAGATTCCAAATTACGAGCTTGGAGATATTATCTTCAAATAATACGTTTATAAAAGATTCCAATCTTTAATTTTGAATTTAAATTTTTTAGAGAAATGACCCTGGTTTCTGTCTAAGGGTTAAAGTTACGGTAACCACTTTTAAAAATGTGAGAGGCATAGCACGGCATGGTGGTTATCTCCGCCCTGGTTTCTGAGCTACTTCCCACCATGAATTAGCACAGCAGAAAGCGTCTTTGTACACTTTCAGGAGGACATTGTACAGGTGGGGATAGCAGCATACTTAACAGGTGTTATGCCGTAGAATGCACCCCCTGCCGTAGATGCACCCCCTGCATCCCCTCCACTTGTTAGCTTCTTAAAGATGGCTCCGCGCCCCCCTGGGGGGGCGGGCCACACACTTTGAGAAATGCTGCCTTAAGCCTAACCTCAGGTTAAACATAAATATATTATTTTGGATTAATAAGAATCAGCAGTTAAAGGGTTAACATTTTCAAATTAAATAGAGTAGAAAATAACATAAAATATCCGAGAAATTCAGTTAATTATTTGTTAAAAGGTATAAAAGGTGAGAAGGGAACAGGGACATTTCTTCTTTTTTTAGCTGCTGTCAACACCGAAGAATTGGTGCCCAGCAGCCCTTTCTTATGTGTGCACAGACCTGAAGAAGACCCAAGTCGGGTCGAAACGTTGTCGATGATGCACACATTGTTTGTACATAGTTCATGTGTAGTTCATGTATTGTGTGTTTGTGTGTAAAAAACAGTTAAAAAAATGTAAGATATTTAAAAACAATAACTCAACCCATTAAAGCCAACTTAAAAACAATATTTATTAAACACAAGTAGTGTTCTTAGTGGGATCGGGGGAGTGTGTCCGGTGGGGCGAAGACCCGTGCACGCCCCACTCCTTGAAGACCCAAGCAGGGTCATAACTTAGAGGGAGACGGGAGTCATTCCCCAATCCTAACCCTAACACAGGAGCACTCCGAGAGGCTAACCCTCAAACGACAGGAAATGGCCTTAAAAGTGCTCACAACCCATTTTCAACATTTCCAGACAAAGTAGAACACTTGGAAACACTGACTTTGGCCATTTTCCGCTCCCATTCATTTTCAATGGGAAATTTCCATTTCGCCATAACTTTTGATAGGAATGTCCAATCGCTGGTTCATTAGTATTTCTAGATTCAGCATACCCGAAAATGGGGGGGTAGACCAAATCTCAGCCCGGTTCATCAATGGGAAAGGCAATGAACCGGCATGTCAAAAGTGGCACATACCCCTATATCATATCATATCATATCCTACAAGTTGCGTATGTGTCCACCTTTGTCTAACTGACAGAAAAGAATCACAAAGACGTGGTTTGGAAAGATCAAATGAAACTCGGAAATCTTCCTCTGTGTTGACATTTGTTTTGATTGGTCAGGCACATGTCCAATAGTGAAGGGGTTCAAAGACGTGTGGAATCACTGACAATCAGAAGCTTATTTAGCTCCTGTCACTGTGATGGTTACTGGATTTATGATTTTACTGGGAGGATGAAGAAACAAGGTAGAACTGAACGTGATGTCCGTTTACTACAAAAATAAACAGTGCCTTGCACAGGACACATCTTTATGTTGCTATGGCGATGAATCTTTCCGTTTTCCGCTGGAGTGAGGAGGGCGTCCCATACCCGCCCGTCTTGTTCGTACCGTCCCATTTCAATTGAGGCGTACTCCACAGCTGAGAGTGTAACTTCATTATGAGTGACACTCGGTAGTGAAGGGTGAGTGTGTCGGTCTGTTTGGTATTGGGTCACAGTGTGTTTGTGCGTTATTTATTTATAAACTTGTGTTGTTGGCTTTGCTCTTCAGGGTCTTTGTAAAGTAGTTTTGGGTCAAGGGTCGAGGAAGGTGGTAAGAAGGCAACTCCGCAGACTGCTGTTTTTTCAGAAGGGACTATTTTTATTTACAGTAAAGTCCACATATAAAGGTTCCATTAAAACCTACAAACTTTTCCCAAGATCAAACAAAATGAGTCTCAAATAAGATCACACAAGGGCTCATCTTCCTCCCTTGGTAGCAGTTCTCCTCTCCTTTTATAGGCAGCTCAGTCTCCAACTAACCTATTACAGAGTGTATCGAGAACCGAAAAGGGGAGCTCAAGATCTCCTTAAGGGTCAGCCAAGGTCGCCAGTCGATGACTTTGTTATTTTACGGAGTCGTGGGCAGAAAAGATTGTGAACCTGTGTTCCTGTTAGAATTTTTAAAACTGTTTTAGGACTTAAGAGTTAGAAATGATGAGAAAAAGTCATTTTTCTGACATTTTAATGGGAATTAAGAGTCACTTTATTTAGAATCTGCCACATAGAAATGTGTAAATCATCAAAATACTGGAAGATTATAGGGCCAGTTTACATCACGTGCACACAAACACACATGAATGTGCAATACAATACAGTATGATACAATTAGAGGGCATTGTATGCATTAACTCTCCATTTACAGAGTTAATATTGAATGAATTGTCATTGTCATTATCTGCTGCACCTTTTAGTTTGGCCTGGGTGTCTCTCTCTCTCTCTCTCTCTCTCTCTCTCTCTCTCTCTCTCTCTCTCTCTCGCTCTCTCGCTCTCTCTCTGTGTTTCCAAAGATTCTCCAAACCTCATTCCCTCAGCACCAACTGCCACCTGTATCGTACCCTTCCTCCCCTTCCTGCTGTTACACCTGCCCTCCCTCCCTCCCTCCCCCACCTGAAGCCGCCTTCATCGGCTCCATCAACCACTTCATCTTCTGCACATCACGTGTTGTGAACTGTTTTAGTCTGTATAGATCCTCTGTTGCAGGTCCGTCCTGGGTGAGGGAACCCTCCTCTGTTGCTCATACTGAGGTTTTTTTTTATATTTATCCAAGTTTTTATTTTTACCTGTTGAAAGGTGTTTTTTTTTTTTTCTTCTGTTTTTTTTCCTCAGTCGATGTGAGGGTCAAAGGGCAGATGATGTTTTTATGATGCTATGTAAAACTCTTTGAGACTAAGTGTAAAAACTAAATCTTTATTTTGTGTTGGGTTGTGCTCATCTATATGAATTAGGTTGTGTGGGGGTTGTTTTCTGTTTTTTTGCTCTCTGACACCAAAGTTTCCCTGCGGGCATGAATCAAGTTTTACTCTTTTCTACTTTTTCTATTCTAATTTTTGTTGATACCAACATCCTTTCCTAAAACACCTGGTCTTTTGTTTTCTTTCTTAGTCCTCTGAAGTATTTTTAGTCTTCATTTGTCGTGAACCCTTGGAGGTAAACCTGAAGCTATAACGTGGGTTTCTCCACCACAACACACCAGGAAAAGATGTCCACATGACCAGGGTCACAAAATCTAAACTCTAAATGAAAATAAAAACTCTTGAAAAACTTAGAACTAAAATTACCATGCACACACAGGACACACAGTTATGGGGAGTGTAGAAGATTAAACTGATGCTGGCTCATTGAACATCTTATACCGAGTAAACATTCAATCACAGGATCCAGTTTAGAAGGTTTATTTCGTCTTCTGTGGAGGATTTTTTCTGTTCAATCAAAGAATTAGAAAAAAGATATATCAGCATAAAATATTTAAATAAAAAGGGACTTATAAAGTTAAATGAAGGTGTTAATGAATTAACTTAATCAATGCCTCCACTTCGGGGCTTTAAATCATCACTAAACTTGGGTTCAGTTCGACAGCAATCTAAAGAAATAATATTAGAGAATAAACAATTTTAGAAATAAGAGAAATCAGGAGAATCGAACAAAGTTTAGTTTCAGTCCTTTTTACTCTCTCATTCAGACTCCCTTTGTTCTCAGCTGATCCAGGGTCAGGGCTCAAGAGGAAGAAGGCCTGAGGGCGGGCTTTTATAATGTTGGGGGTGTGGCTTGGCATTGAGTGACAGGAGAGTCAGGTATGTGATGGTGATTTAACAGGAAGTTTCCTAACAGAGAAACTGTCCTGAGTGTCGACAAAACACAACAAACACAAAGTAAATCAGCATGTTAACAAAACCACTTTAATACACACACACACACACACACACACACAGACACACACACACACACACACACACACACAGAGGCAGCAGCAGTCGGACTCTTTCTGATGATGATCTGCGCATGCGCTCTGGCTCAGTAACCCATCAGGAGGATGGCGGAGGAGGACACTAAAGAGGATTTTCTGGTTCCTGACGGTGAAACAGAACAACCATCAGCGGACGGAGGAGCTGCTCTGAACATCCCGGTAAACCTGCTTCACTCTCCGGCTTCACTTTTCATGATTTCGGTAAAAAAAATCGTCGTTTTAACGTTGATGGCTAACGTTAGCTAAGACGGTCTGAGGCTCGTTCTGTTGGGACAGTAATGTGTGTTTTCTTCAGCTTTTTACGGGATATTTCCTCGTTTTTAGGTCAAACAAACCTTTCATCTCAACACAGTCCTCTTTAGTTCACCCTAATCCATCTTCCTTCGTCCTTAAACCTAAACTAATGATGTCTGTTGGTCTTTAAAAAAGACGATTTTAATGTCGAATTTACTTTGTGCTTGTATCTATAGAAACAGCTTTTGTCACCTCATAGATTAGGGTTATTTTCATGTGTGGTTTTAATACAGTTTGGTACTGACAGGGGCGTTCTTCTGCTGTTTGAGGGTCAGGGCTATGAACATGAAAAAAGGGCACCCCTGGTATGATAGGGGCACCAGGGCACAGAAAGATCAGATTTAGAGATCGATGGATTAACCTGCATTCAGTAGATCAATACTTGACATTTTTTCTTAAAGTCCTGCTCCAATAGTATTTTTTTAATTGATTAAAATGTTCTCAGTTATCTTTATTTTGTGATTATGAAGTTTTTAGTCAAAATCATGATACCTGTGTCATTTTTAGGACCTTTCTTCTGCAGAGCTTCAGAAGCTCATTAGTGATTCGCCTCTGAGTCGTGGGCGGAGTCAGCGCTGCTCTGCACACTCGTCTTCATGCTAGCTTGTAGCCGAACACAGCTGATGTTGTCGTAGAAGTAGCAGGTAACATCGGAGTTAGCTAATATCCTGAATTAGCTTTCTTACGAGCATTTCAATCTGCTAACGCACACACTTGGTCCGCCATCGTTCTCTTTACTTTTCGGGGTCTGACCTGCAGAGCGGGATGCTGGGGGCGGAGCCTGCTGTTTGGGTCTGTGAGAGGTTCACGGCGGTTTAAACGCAGAAATACTCAGAAATAAAATTTTGCTCTTATTTTTCTCATGGTATGTCCTGCAGCATCAGAAAAATGAAAAACATGATTTCTTTAGAGCGAGTCCTAAATTCTTCAAATTTATTTTATTTCAGATATTTTTGGATTTTGTCAAATCCAAATAACAACAACTATGTTATATCTGCTATATCTGTTGGCCATCAGCCGACCCTCAGCGTCAGAAAAACTAATCAGTTGATCAATAATGTGAGTTTAGGTGATCTGCCTGGAGCGGCAGTGTAAATGCACATTTAGTTTGTTTATTTTTGGCATCTCATGAACACAAAGTCGTTTTACAGACATCGTTGTAGTTTAGAAGAAAAGACTCTCTTAAACATTAAACTTCATTAACAGCGCTCAAGAATAAACTCCCAAAAGACCATTTAAACTGTTGGAAGGGCATCCAGTTGACACATTTAGAGTTTATCCGCTGTAAAGGAAATTAAGGGCTCTTTTTGTAGGGGCATCTAGGGTCTCTTTTTCCTTTTTTATGCAGACATCAGTATTTTATGTTTAATCAGTTTAAAAGGTATCCCAAAGGTACAGATCAACATTTCATAATTGAAGGGCATCCAGAGGGAACTATTTGCATCGCACATGTTGAAACAGGATCTAGAGGGTGCTTTTGTGTGCTGTTCTTTGGAAGGGTATTCAAGGGTATTTATTTACATAATACATATGTTACGGGCATCTAAAGGGCACTCAATATGTTACGTACTGGAAAGGCATCCAGAAGACAGTAATTTATGTTAAATTTATTGGAAGGGTATTCAGTGAGTATGATAAACATTTCATATATTTGACAGGAAAGGTCCTTTTTCCCAAATGTAATGTGGTAGAAGGGCATCCAGGGAGTGTTTTTTTATGTTGAATCAATAAGAAGGGCATCCAGTGGAGATTTATCCTCATTTTATACATTAAAGGACATGTTGAAGGCTTTTTTTTAACATAGTTTGTACCAGAAGGAAATCCAGAGGGTATTTAATTCTGTTTGTTATGTCTGGTAGGTGTAGATATTGCACTTTTTTTCCCAATACATACGATGGAAAGGCATTCGGAGGACACTGCTTTATGTTTGATCCTTTTGGAGGGTAATCAGAGTTTTTATATATATATATATATATGTTTTTATATTTTAGTGCTCTAAGATGGCAGTTTTTCCCTAATACTAGAAAAAGGAGTCAGAGAGAACTTTTGTTGGCTTTGTTTAATGGAAGGGCATCCAGGGAACCTTTTTTCCACCTTACAACAGCACCTTTTCAGGTAGGATAATCACAGATCAGTAAAAAAATCCCAAAAGACATCCAGTCTAATTTAAAAGCAGGATGTGCCTCTCCTTTTTTGTCGCTAATCTTTGGTAGCAGAAGTTTCCTGAAGGTTCGGTGTGTTCTGACGTTGCAGATGGTGGAGGAGGGCTCCACTCTGATACGCAGGATGGAGATCTGTGTCGCTGAGGCTGAGAAAAGAAGCGGGAAAAATGCCGTAAACATGCAGGAGACGTTTAGTGTATATCTCATTGAAACGAGGTGAGAATCGCACTTCACTGCTCGGTCATCGTAGAGGAAGGCTGTGGTTCAGGTTGGACAAGTTGATAAACATCCAGCTCTGTGTTGCATAAACCTACTTCTGTACTTTTATGACTGTGCAAAAAGACGTATGCTTTATCTTGAAAGGCCAATGGATGCAGTCGCTGAAGGCCGTAACCTAGCGCCCGACTCTCTGTGGAGGAGGTACAGCGAGTTTGAGCTCCTGAGGAACTACCTGATTGTGACCTATCCTTACATCGTGGTTCCTCCTCTGCCTGAGAAGAGAGTGAGTTTGAACCAATCCAAAGTGTGTCTTCGCTGACCTTCATTTTTATCTTTTTGTTCTTTAGTCAAATTTTATGTCTTTTTTTAGTCCGCCATGGTTTTCTTCTCCTAACATAAATGACACTATGGTCTTAGCAGACAAGTACAGCGTATGTGGGAGCAAAAACTCTCACCCAGGATAATCCTGAAGGATTTATGTCGCTATCAGGAACCATGTTTCTCCAGCCTTCGATAATCCGATCAGAAATTGTTGTTTTGCATGCAGGCAGAGTTTGTTTGGCACAAGCTGTCTGCAGACAACATGGATCCAGACTTTGTGGAGCGCCGGCGTGTTGGACTGGAAAATTTTCTGCTTCGTGTGGCCTCACATCCAGTCCTATCAAATGACAAGATCTTCTACCACTTCCTCACTGAGGTACAGGCTGCAGCTGTGGCTGAAGAGACCATGAAGAGTTTCCAGTGAATGTCTGAGTAATTGTTTCTCTGCTGTGTTTGTCAGGAACACGACTGGAAAGAAGTTGTGTATGAGACAGGATTTCAGGCAAAGGTACATCTCTGCAGCGTCTCTCTCTCCTCTCAAACAGAGACTCTGGATGATCATAAAACTTAACTTCATTTCTCCAACAGGCAGATTCCAGACTGAGAGCGCTGAGTGCCACCTTCAGGGTGAGGAATCCAGATAAGTAAGTTAGAGTTTCACAGACACGCTGTAAGACGAGCTCAGGTGGATTTTAAGGTTTGGATGTGTGACTGACGAACTTTGATGGTGAAGATCAGATGAATTGAAGGGATGTGTGTTCGTTCACACATGAACTCCTCATTGTTAACATGCATGATTTAGGTTCACAGAAATGCTCAACAAGAGTTCCGTTTTCAGCTGCCTCACTAAAACTGTAACTGTGGATGAATGTTTCCTCGTTTGCTCGGCTGACGGTCAATAACAGGCTGTTCCTTCTCCCTCTTTTCTTTCCTTCAGGCGTTTTATGGAGATGAAACATTACAGCGATGAGCTGCAGTCTCACACGTCTCAGCTGCTCAGAGCTCGAGCGGTAAGTCTCTGTCTCTCAAACAGGATGAACGCGTGTTCTTCGAAAATTTAAACCTGCATTTAGTATTTGTGGCCACCAGGGGCAGCAGTAATACGCTTTAAACTCGACACCAACAATAATGACGTCTGTGTAGTGATCTTTGTAGAGGCGGGTCTAAGTTAAGTCCCTCTTCTCCTTTAGAGGGTCGCAGATCGACTCTATGGTGTTTATAAGGTCCACGGGAACTACGGCAGAGTCTTCAGGTGAGATACCAACTATATATTTATATATATTTATATATGTTTATATGTATTTATATATATTTATTTATATTTATATATATTTATATATAATTATATATATTTATATGTATTTATATGTATTTATACAGTGGGCTCCTCATTCATGTGTCTGTGAGAAAGAAACCCTCCCTGGTAATAAAAGTGTGTGTGTCTCCATGTTTTGAGCGCAGTGAGTGGAGCGCCATCGAGAAAGAGATGGGAGATGGACTCCAGAGCGCAGGTCATCATATGGATGCGTGAGTATGAACACGTTAGAGACGTAGACGACCTGAAGAACTCTTCTGAGGAGAGTCCTTCGACAAAAACCCTCATCTTCCTCATTTTGGAGAGTCACACGTGTCATTTATGATCTCTGCAGATATGCTGCTTCAATAGATGATATCTTAGAGGAGGAGGAGCATTACGCCGACCAAATCAAGGAGTATCTCTTCTACGCCGAGGCTCTGAGGTGAGAGTCTTCAACATCTTTAAATGTTTTTGAGGCTTCTGTCGTTTATGAGCTTCTGTTACGAGACTATTTAAGGTCCATAAAGTTCACACAGGTGCAGCAGCAGAGATCTTTTCAGTGACAGAGAAGTTACACCTTTAATTTGACACCAAGCTCAGCAGGAATTAAGTCCCGATTCAAGTTTTATGGAAAAACTTTGAAAAATCTTTGTTTAGTTATTTAAAGGTTAACTGAGTGTGAGGATGCCGGACCCAGGTCCACACCAGTGACCAGTTAGACTGGGTTTACTGGTTGCAGATCTGGGTTTACTGGTTGCAGATCTGGGTGTCACACAGACTGGTCTGAGAGGGTTCTGGTTTATAAAGCCGTCCACATTTTTAGACATTCTGCTTCCATCCTGTTGACAGTTTAGAGAGTCCATGTAGGCGAATAACAAATCACGACATATTTTGGGAACCTGAGTGATGGTAGCCGGGTGTTGAAGGTCCTGGTTTAGGAGGATTTTCAGAGGCTCATGGCGTCAGGAATCTAGCACCAAAAGATCTGAGGTATCTGAGCTCCACCACCGTAAAGGCTGACATGACTGGCTGAAGAAAATCCTCCTGACTCTGTGAGAGAAGACAGCAGATAATGATGAATGTAATACACTGACAGGGCGGTGTGCAGAAAACATGAGCTGACCCAGTTTGAGCTGGAGATGGCCTCTCAAGACCTCATCTCTAAGAAGCAGCAGCGTGAGGAACTGGCCACAGGGGTAAAAAAAAAGACTTTTTTCCAGTTTTAGATTTCAGGTTTTTAACGTCAGAGCCTGATCAGGGACTGCAGATGATAAGGATCCTAAATGATGCTGTTTGGTTGTTTTCGTCACCCTCAGATTGTGCGGACGTTCTCCTTCAAAGGGATGACCAACAAGCTTTTTGGCCAAGAAGCTCCTGAGCAGAGGGAGTCGAGGCTGAAGCTGCTGGAGGAAATGATCGCAGAGGGGGAGGAGACGGTGAAGGAGAAAACTGTGGAGTGCGAGTGAGTCATGGCCTTTGAGTAGAGGTGTTACTGTATGTTAGAAAATCAGCCTCTGCAGTGGACATAAAGGGGAAAAAGGAACATTAAATATCTTCATGAATGTGTGTAGGGAGCATGTTGAACGGGCGTGGGTGGACATGCAGCGCTTCAGGGAGCAGAAAGACAAAGACCTGCGAGAGGCGCTCATCAACTACGCCGTCATGCAGATCAGCATGTGTAAAAAGGTGCAGATCATTGATATGAGAGTCACGTCAGACCTTTCATGGTCATTTTCATCATTTTAACTTTTATTTTTTTGTCTTTCTCTCTGCAGGGAATACAAGTGTGGAGCAACGCCAAAGAATGTTTCCTAAAGATGTAAAAGAAGCCATATCTAAAAATGACGACTCTCGTTCAGGTCCGAAGAAGGTGAAGCAACAAAATCCTTTTGTGTAAATTAACACAAAATTCCTTCATGTGTCATTAATATGTTTGGGTTTTTCACAGACGCTGCCAACAAAGCAGAAAAAGACGCTCAGTTGTACTAAAGCACATTAAGCATCTCGGACGTTCGACTCTTGAACCAAAAATTCGGTTGTTTGACTTTTGAGAAGAGGGAGAGGTTTGGGTTTAACCTCCTGTTTGGTCAGCTGGGTAACAAGTCTGATTTATCCTGAGAGGAGTGTGAGAGTTTCACACTCAGGGTGTCTTGATGAGACAGAAGTTATTATAATTTATTTTAACTACTATAATAAAGTTATTTTAATTCATTTTAACTACTATAATAAAGTTATTATAATTTATTATAACTACTATAATAAAATTATTTTAATTCATTTTAACTACTATAATAAAATTATTATAATTTATTATAACTACTATAATAAAGTTATTATAATTTATTATAACTACTATAATAAAGTTATTATAATTTATTATAACTACTATAATAAAATTATTATAATTTATTATAACTACTATAATAAAGTTATTATAATTTATTATAACTACTATAATAAAGTTATTTTAATTTATTTTAACTACTATAATAAAGTTATTATAATTTATTATAACTACTATAATAAAGTTATTTTAATTTATTTTAACTACTATAATAAAGTTATTATAATTTATTTTAACTACTATAATAAAGTTATTATAATTTATTATAACTACTATAATAAAGTTATTTTAATTTATTTTAACTACTATAATAAAGTTATTATAATTTATTATAACTACTATAATAAAATTATTATAATTTATTATAACTACTATAGTAAAATTATTTTAATTCATTTTAACTACTATAATAAAATTATTATAATTTATTATAACTACTATAATAAAGTTATTATAATTTATTATAACTACTATAATAAAGTTATTTTAATTTATTTTAACAACTATAATAAAGTTATTATAATTTATTATAACTACTATAATAAAGTTATTTTAATTTATTTTAACTACTATAGTAAAATTATTATAATTTATTATAACTACTATAATAAAATTATTATAATTTATTATAACTACTATAGTAAAATTATTTTAATTCATTTTAACTACTATAATAAAATTATTATAATTTATTATAACTACTATAATAAAGTTATTATAATTTATTATAACTACTATAATAAAATTATTTTAATTTATTATAACTACTATAATAAAGTTATAATTTATTATAACTACTATAATAAAGTTATTTTAATTTATTTTAACTACTATAATAAAGTTATTATAATCTTAAGGAGGTTTTTTATTGTTTTCAGTTTAAAGACAAACCTGTAAATTTTAACGAACAGTAAGCTGCAACAAGATTTCTGTTTGTTTGTTGTTAACTTGAACCTTTTGTCCTTTTTATTATCAAAACATATATTTGCCAGTAATAAGCTTTTTTTTGTGACGTTCTCTCTTCTTCAAATTTTCTACATTTATTTATTTTCTGTTTGTTTAAATAAAAATGTGTTTTGAACCAAAAAATCCTGAGATAATGCAGTTTGTTCCTAAGAGTAAAAAAACCACATGTATGTTTGTTAATCTTTATTACTATATTTATGACTTTATTACTGCAGGATGATACCATCTTAAACTTGTTAGAAAACTTCCTTTCCTGATATTTTAAGGTGTGGAGTCCAACAAAGTTCTTCTTCTTATTCATCAGAATCAAACCTGATTTGTGTCAATCTAATAAACTTGATTTTAGATCCTGTTTGTAACTGACGATATACACAAAGTGAGGGTTACCATGGTGACATGTTTTGTTATTTCATGATAAATTTAATTAAAACTGATGTTAATGTCATTTATGTTTACTTTGCAGAGGGAAATAATTTGAGTATTTCCTGTTTATCCTGATTAATAAAAGTTTTTATGTGAGAGACAGAAAACAGGAAGAGATCAATGAAAACGTAGTCCACAGATTTCACAATAAAATAAAAGAGATTTATAAAAGAGGTGGTCCACAGGTACATAGACATGAAATATGTAGATGCCTCATATACTGACGCTGCCAATTGGAGCTCACGGAGCAGTGAGGCCGCCATCTTGGATGTATATATTTATTTTAATTGAGGTAAAAAAAATAAAAGTTTTTAATCTGAACTCTTAACATTTTTGCCGATTTTCACAGTTAAGTTTGTTAAAAACGTCAGAGATGCAGCAAAGATTCAGGACACAGTCACACATTAAAAATAACTAAAATTATTGTTTTTTATCTTTCTGCTGAAATGTCATCCTGGTTTCAATAGGTCATCAGTTTTTACACCAAAGGGAGATTTTATTATTTCTTTTATTATTATTATTGTTTCAACCACAGTCAGAGTTTTTATTATTATTATTATTATTATTATTATTATTATTATTATTATTATTATTGTTATTTTTTTTTAACCATAGTTAGAGTTTCTCTAATGAAGCCTAAAATAAGTTGACCTTTCCAATATGGCGGCTACGCTGGTTCTATTCACACAGAACTTTTTTTTTTTTTAATTAAATGATCTTTATTAATAGCTCGTGTTTTGACGTTGACAATAAAGTAAATCGCATGAAAATCAATAAAAAAATAAAAGATTTATTTACCATGGACATCGAGCCTCTCCCACAATGCACTGCTCACTCAGCTGTCAGATTCTTATTTCCGGGTTTGATCACTTCGATCCACGTGTGTCCTGATCCATATCCTGTATATAGAAGAGTAAAAACAGTTTATTGTCTATAGAGTAGATTATAATCTAAAATCCGAACATGTCCACAGAAGATGAGGAGTTCACGGCCTTCGTGTCTCTTCATGTCGGAGCTCTTCGATCTTCAGGAATCCCCGAAATTTACTGGAAGAGTCTTCATCACAAAATCACCAACGAGGTCTGTCATCTTATAAAAATACACTAATTAAAGAGAAATTAAGTCTTTATTTCAGGATTTAGTGTTAGTTTGTGATAGACAGTAAGATTTCATGAAGATAATCAGACTGATGTTCTCCTCACTCCCAGATTCTCCTTAAAGAAAGTCGAAATATTTTCTTCTTTGTCTTTATTTCAAAATTTACGTCGAATAAAGACGGGATAAAAAAACATTCAACATGCTCATATAAGAGGGGATAATTCGGCTCACAATTTCGGCATTTGTCGGCAGGTTATTGTTGATTATTTACTTTATTTATTTCAGGGGTTAGATCGGGAAACTGCCACGAAGATCAAGTTTGTCTTTTTTTTTCTCACAGATTTATGATGCAGGAGAAGTTTTCGGAATCCTGCAGTTCCAGGAAGACGAAGATGAAGGTGAAGAGGAGGAGAAGAAGAAGAAGGGAAATCCTGGAGCAGAGATCCGCTGTAAGGTGGTCGTAACTCGGGAGAGTGGGCTGCAGATGTCCGAGCCGACCAGGTGAGGGCGCCACAGAGCCACAAAACAACCCTGACACTAAGTAAAGAAACAGGAAACAGTTTTAGTCTGATATTCAGAAACATAGTTTAAAATAAAAACTGAGAAATGATTAATTATAAGAAATGTGGTTTAAAAAATAATGTTTGTTTTTATTGTAAAAACTTTAAATCGATCGAACCGGAGTGTCTGTGCTGCCTGCAGTGTTTACCTGGTGGATCACGCATGGACGTACCGTGTCGATGGCGCCCGTAAGCAGCTGGAGGAGATCCCCGGCCTGCTGTCCAGGATGGCTTCACTCATGGGGGTGGATTTCCACGGGGAAGCCCCAGACCCGGACACGGTGGAGCTGGTGATGGAGCGCATGTGGAAGTACAACCAGACTTATCACATCTCCCAAGGAGTAAATTTTCTTTTTGACCTCCTTATTTTCTCTCCTCTGTCTGAAATCTCCTGATAGATGACCTTAGATTATTCTAGATCAACATAAACACGTGACCTCCTGTGGTTTCCTGTTCATTACTGACAGGATAAAAGCTCCTAAAACACTAAAAGATAATTTGGCTCCAACATCTTCAAAACCACCCGGAGGTTAAATGTATGAACTGGATCAGCTGACTTTCACATGATGAAATGGGTTTTATGGAGATTGACTTTTGTTATAAAATCCATAAACGCGGACTCTCAGGGCAGCTTTGATGACTTCTTGTTCAAGAACAAACTGAGTGTTTGAGATCGGTCTAAAAACCTTTACCAAGGCGGATTTAAAGCCCTTTTCCACAAACATTATCTCTGTTGGCTGCATCTGTGAATGTCACAATGCAAATTTGTCACTCCAGCTTTTCCTGAATTTTTCCCCAAATTCCCGTCATAAAATTTCTAAAAGTCAGGACGAGAACCCGACAGGTTCAACAGCAGATATCAAAATGAAAACAGCAGATGTGAAAATCTAAGCTGGTGTTATTCTAAAAGCTTCTACTGACATGCAAAAGAAAAACAAACATATATGACAGGAAGAGAGACGCTGAGGATTTGTTCTCATGATGAAAATATTGAACTTAAGTCAACCCGGACAGAACCAAGAGTCTCATACGGTGAATTTACAGGGAATCATGTTTTATAAAGAGCTTTTGGTCTCCTGCATGTTTTTAATCTTTTCTTTAATTCAGTCTGCAGAGCAGAAGGTCCCGGTGTGGTACATCATGGACGAGTTTGGCTCTCAGGTGCAGCACTCGGACCGACCCACCTGTAGTCTCGCTCCCTTCTTCTACATTCAGGGTCAGGTGGCTTATTCGGTGTTGTGGCCTCTCCAGGACCTGCAGGATGGAGGTGAGCGCAGACACACACACACAGAGCTGTAGATGATAGAGTGATCCATCAAACAATATTTATTGATTCGGCCCACAGAACAAACGCACAGAGGAACTGACCCTCGTACAAAAGTGTAAAACAGTGAAGAACAGAGTCACGCTGATAAATTTACAGTTTCAAGAGTTTCTGGACAAATTTAAAGATCGAACATTATCGAACAATAACGAACTTCGTCTCTGTGAGGAAAGTCTGACGTCTGAGCTTGTGACACGACTAATCCTCCAAAATATGCCAGCCAATGATCAGTTTATCAGTTTATCAGTTTATCATGTTATCAGTTTATCAGTTTATCAGTTTATCATGTTATCAGTTTATCAGTTTATCAGTTTATCATTTTATCAGTTTATCATTTTATCAGTTTATCATGTTATCAGTTTATCAGTTTATCATGTTATCAGTTTATCAGTTTATCAGTTTATCATATTATCAGTTTATCAGTTTATCATGTTATCAGTTTATCAGTTTATCAGTTTATCATATTATCAGTTTATCAGTTTATCAGTTTATCACTTTATCAGTTTATCATGTTATCAGTTTATCATATTATCAGTTTATCAGTTTATCATTTTATCAGTTTATCAGTTTATCAGTTTATCAGTTTATCATGTTATCAGTTTATCATATTATCAGTTTATCAGTTTATCATTTTATCAGTTTATCAGTTTATCACTTTATCAGTTTATCATGTTATCAGTTTATCATGTTATCAGTTTATCATGTTATCAGTTTATCAGTTTATCATGTTATCAGTTTATCATGTTATCAGTTTATCAGTTTATCAGTTTATCAGTTTATCATGTTTCTACATCTTTACCTGTTTGTTGTCACAGACGAGGTGACCCGGGATTATGCGCACGGAGAGACGAACCTCCTTGTGAGGCAATGCCGTCTGTTACCGTGGAAACCTGCTGATCTGGACGAGGTCAGCAGTGCTACGACCGAGCCACCAGACTGTTACTATGAGGTTAGGACTGATGATAAGAGACACAGAAGAAGTAATTTCCACCGATCAGAGAACTCGAGATGTGAGGTTTCAGATTCGCTCCTGGATGAAGGTTTGAGGTCAGATTTTTTCTGTGTCTGCAGAACATTTTACAGAACAACAAGGAGAAACTTCCAGAAGAAATCCAACCCTGCAGCATACCTGAAGGTAAAATCCTCAGGTGAGTGTCTGACACCAGAGCCCAGGACATTAAAATAAAACTTCATTTAACCCGATAAAACCCACTGAGATCAAGATCTCTGGAACAAGCTGACCTGGTCAGGAGGTCAGCGGCAAAAAAAAACCAACGACAACATCGAGAAGATCCACAGACGTCTTTTAAACTCGTCTTCTCTGATCTTCATCACCATTTTCCAAAGATGGTCAACAGACAAAAACTTTTATCGTTGGTTAAAGAATTACTGTACATAAATAAACGATGAGGAAGCCTCTTCTGGACAAACTGATCAATCTTGTTGTCTGTTTTTTTTTTTTCCTCTAACAGAGTTTACTCTGAAATGTCTCAGGTCACAAACAACCTGACTCATCCTCGCTTTCAGCTGACTGAGGAAGAGGAGGAGGCCGATATCATCTGGAGCTACAAACACATCAAAGATTTCAGGTCAGGAACTTTTCAACCACAAAAAACAGATTTTTATGTCCGACCAAAAAGACGTTTTTAAATGTCACTTTACTGCTTTATGTTAAGTTTAAAAAAAAAAAACAAAGTTAAACAAAAACGAAGTTTAAAAAAAAAAACAAAGTTAAAAAAAAAAAAAGTTTAAAAAAAAACAAAGTTTAAAAAAAAAAAGTTTAAAAAAAAAATAGTTTTTTTTAAAGGAAACAAGGTTTTTAAAGGAGACAAAGGTTTGTCCCTTTTACCTTGGAGGAAACAAGGTCACGTCTGAGTCGACTGCGTTCTAGTCTCGATGTAAGTGTACTCGTACACACTTGTTATCGCTGCAGCCGCTCTCTGTTGTGTCTGGTCTGTCCTCAATGTGGAGATGCAGAAGGAGGCTTCGTGACACTGACTTGCTTGTATAAGAGGAGTTTATTGTAAAGACAACACCAGAGTTTGTGACCCTGTTATATACGGTTAGGGATGAAGGTCCTCCTACATCCATTCTTCATCTCTAATTTTCGTCAATGTCTGGATTTTAGTAACCCAATATTGTGACCTGTGACCTGCGAATATGCCGTGTCCAGGATATCCTGTCCCCGGAACCATTAAGGAGAAAAAGGATTAACACAATCCCATAATATTCCACAATTGGTCGCCTCCGACTATCCTTGAAAAATTACCTCAAAGCAATGCATGTTGGTGTAGAACTCCAGATACCACACTCTCTCTCTGTCTCTCTCTCTCTCTTTCTCTCTCTCTCTCTCTCTCTCTCTCCCTCTCTCTCTCTCTCTGTCGTACATAAACAGGATCACACGGACAAAGTCTCTTTTCTTGTCTCACAGTCCAGCGGAGGGAGTGTGAGCAGAGAACTCTCGGCTTTCTCACGGTGATATCTCCAAGGACATAAATCAACAAACTGACCAGTTGTGTCCAACGACGGAGAAGAGGGTGGGGGGGCAGGAAGAGAGTTAGAAAAACAACGACTTCATGACTGCGTCCCACTCAAGTTTCAAAGTTTGTTTTAGAGGAGATCCTAAAAGTCCAACAGCTCGGCTCAGTGTGATTTTCCAGGTTATTCAGAAAACGTTGTCAAGAGGAGAAACGGCGATGAAGTAATCTGACACCTCTGCAGTAACGGGCCTGAAGTCTGGGATCCACACCAGGGTCTCATCATCAACCCTGTGTCTGAATATTCCAGCGCCGAGTCTGGAACTGATCGACCTGGACGTGTTCTTAGGACCGAACTCTGAGCACGCGTACACACAAACCCTAGTGGTCGAACAGTGAAACTACAACTAGAACCATTAAAGGAGTCACAGCGTTCAGCGATCTCAGACTTCACATGTTCTCTGTTCACTCTGTACAAAATTTAACTGATCAGTTATTGATCAGAGTGACAACCTCAGAAGAAGTCTGTCAAGTACAAACACAAGTCTCCTGGTTTATTTTGTTCTGTCGGAGGACTTGGAGAAGCGTCTGCTCCTCCTCCTCCTCCTCCTCCTCCTCCTCCTCCTGCTCCTCCTCCTCCTCCTCCTCAGGGAGCGCGGCGTTTCCAAAGAGCGCTCTGATCAGTTCAGTGAGAACACAGAGTGGATTCTCAGCAGGAACCGTTTCCCCAAAAACATCTGAACAGATTTATGATCCGTGATTTACAGCCGTGTCGGAGCGAGAGACAAAACGCTCCAACGCCATCATCGCCGTGACCATCCAGCTCCTGTCCACGCTAACCCGACATTTCAGCCTGAGGTCGGAGACAAAGACGACATTTCACAGACAACGCTAACAGAAACATGTCGGCAGAGTTGATCAATAATTTCTCTGACCTCGACTTTCATCCAGTTCTCAAACACACGTCAGCAACACGCCGAAATAAAACCAGGATTTCACGCCATCGCCGGATTCCCGAACATGATAAGAGCCGTAGATTTGACCACATCGTCATAAAAGAACCTTCACACGATCAATTCAGTTTAATCAACAGGAAAGGATTTCAATCAATCAATGATCAATAATCTGAGACGATCATATGTATCTGTTAAACATTGTTGGAGGAACACTGTGAGTGTGCACCTCCACGTGTGCACGTTTGATAAATGAGGCCCAATGACCTTTGACCCTCCAGTTTCCCGGCCAATGAGAAACCTCTCATTTTCTTACAGGAAGCTGAGCGAAGAGCGCCCCCATGTGATGCTGAACCAGTTTCCCTGTGAGAGTATCGTCACCGTGAAGGACTGCCTGTCCGCCGTGGCCCGAAGACTGAGAGGAGGCCCGTCACCTGATTGGCTCCCTGTGACCTTTAACCTGCAGACGGAGCTGCCGCAGTTCATCAGACACTATCAGCTCAGACAGGAGAGGTGAGAGAGCGACCGACGTTTGGAGAGAAAAAAACACGTTTAACGAGTTCAACTTTATTTAAAAACAGCAGCTTTCATTAAAATCTCCGTTCTTTAAAAACTGAAGAAGAAGAAAAATTATAATAAAGATGAAAATAAATAAATAAATAAATAAATAAATAAAAAAATAAAAAAATAAATAAATAAAGATGAAACTCTGAATCTTTCGCTCTGATCGACTCGGTTTCAGTCGAGAGGACAACCACTGGATCTGTAAACCCTGGAACTTAGCGCGAGGACTCGACACACACATCACCGACAACCTGGACTACATCATCCGACAACGAGAGAGCACGCCCAAGGTACACACACACACACACACACACAGAGACACACACACACACAGAGACACACACAGAGACACAGAGACACACTCACACACACTCACACACACACTCACACACACACACACACACACACACACACACACTCACACACACTCACACACACACACACACTCACACACACGCACACACACACACACACACACACAGACACACACACACACACAGAGACACACACACACACTCACACACACTCACACACACACACACACACACACACACACACTCACACACTGACATACAGACTCATGTTTTTGTTTTTTTGTTTGAATTTTTCCTTTTCAGTCTTTTTCTGTTTCTACAGACGGATGAGAAACAAACATTTAGAACAAACAGAATAAAAACAAAATAAAAACAAAGGAGTGAAAAACTGTAGACGAGTTTCAGCAGCAGCATTGCATTGTGGGAAAGTCTGAATCCAGGTATTAGACCAGTTCAAATGTTCAGAGGTTAGACCGATTCATGTTGTTGACGATTTAACGTGACGGACGCAGAGAATCGAGGCTCAGGAGACAAAACCTGGTCTGAAGAGGATCCTCTGAAAAACCGAGTCCTGAGAGGAGCCCCCCAAGACCCTGACCAAAGTCCCACAGGGGCCCCCCAAACCCTGACCAAAGTCCCACAGGGGCCCCAAACCCTGACCTAAGTCCTCACAGGGGCCCCAAACCCTGACCTAAGTCCTCACAGGGGCCCCCAATCCATTACCAAAGTCCCACAGGGGCCCCAAACCCTGACCTAAGTCCTCACAGGGGCCCCCAATCCATTACCAAAGTCCCACAGGGGCCCCAAACCCTGACCAAAGTCCCACAGGGGCCCCAAACCCTGACCAAAGTCCCACAGGGGCCCCCAGACCCTCTTTTATGAGTCTTTCTGCAGCCCGTCTTAATCAGGATTGTCTCCGTTGTCTTGGAGACGATGTGACGTGAAGACTCCTGGTTTTACTTTCGCTGATCTTGTAAATTTCGCTGTTTTATTTGAACTTTCGTTAATTTTTCGTCACTTTTGAAGTTTCTTCAGTTCGTAATTCAAGAGAAAAAGCGTTTCGGCCTTTTCAGCGACAAACGAAGTTTTAAACAGAGTCTGCTGTTTTATTTTGAGTTTTTAACTCTTTCAGCTTTAACCAATCACATGCAGCCTCTCCTCCGCCAAGGTTGATTCTGATTGGTCCGTGGTGTTTCATCTCGGGTGGATGTCTGATGTCTTGTGTGTTTCAGGTGGTGTGTAAGTACATCGAAGACCCCGTGTTGTTTCACAGAGACGAGGTGGGGATGGTGAAGTTTGACGTTCGCTACATGCTGATGTTGCGCTCGGTGAAACCTCTGAGACTCTTCGCCTACAACGTCTTTTGGCTTCGCTTTGCTAACAGGTGCAACACTCTTTCATAACGACCTGAAGATACAATCATCGACCGACAACAGAGTGTGAGGCGTTCAGGTGCGAGGAGGAAACTCAGCTGACGGGAGTTTAGAGACGCCGACAGCTCCACATTTAGACACAAAACAGGAGCGACCGGCGCTGAGATCTGAAACTCTGGGAGTGTTTGAACTTTAATGTGGACGGATGGACAGATGGACAGATGGACAGATGGATAGATAGATAGATAGATAGATAGATAGATAGATAGATAGATAAACTTTTCACTTTACTGTCGTTGATGTTTTTTTTACTGGACTCATAGATGAGGCAGAAAACTGGAGAAATGAAATCTTGGACGCTGTGATTTAAAAGAAGCAGCGACTGTGAAATCTTCAGAAAATGGAGGTTTAATTTCCGTCTGAGCAGAGAAGAGAGTTTTCAGGGAAACAGCGTCTAAACTTTAATGTTGTTGGTTTTTAGGGCGTCTCTGTCAAACCCACAACCTCGACATTTCTCTCTGTTTTTATCTTTTCTGCCGTTTACAGCGTCTCTCTCTGTTTTTATTTGGTTTTAGAGTTTCTTTGGTTTGTTCGTTTCCATTTCTTTGTTGATGATTTTTTAAGAGATCCCTGAAGTCTCTGAAGTCACCTTGTCTCTGAAGTCTCTGAAGTCACCTTGTCGGGGTCATTGTGAGGTTTCTTCTCTTTGTCACATTGTTGTCTGTGGATTTATCACACGCCACTCTTCAGGGTCTGTTTTTTCCCTCGACCACCGTCTGAAAAACCTCTCTCCTTTTGCGAAGCCTCTGCCGACGGCGGCTTCCTTTTTTTTAAAACACCTGGAGTCGAATTTCCTGTTTGAGGTTCGAGAGCATTTTTACGCTTCAGTCAGAAACTGAAGAAGCTCTTCACACGTCTGCCAACACTTCCTGAAACCTCTCCGGTTTCTTCATGTGACACGAGAATCAACTCACCTCAAAATCTGCTGATTTCTCTGTTTTTTCTTTTTCTTCTTCACAAACTTTCACTCCAGTCCAAAAGTGTCGGATATTTCAGAGAGTTTCTGAGAATCAACAACGTGTGAGGATTGAAACGTGCGTGTTTAAACGTGCGTGTTTAAACGTGCGTGTTTAAACGTGCGTGTTTAAACGTGCGTGTTTAAACGTGCGTGTTTAAACGTGCGTGTTTAAACGTGCGTGTTTAAACGTGCGTGTTTGGACGTGCGTGTTTAAACGTGCGTGTTTTAACGTGCGTGTTTGGACGTGCGTGTTTAAACGTGCGTGTTTTAACGTGCGTGTTTAAACGTGCGTGTTTTAACGTGCGTGTTTTGACGTGCGTGTTTGGACGTGCGTGTTTTGACGTGCGTGTTTAAACGTGCGTGTTTTAACGTGCGTGTTTAAACGTGCGTGTTTAAACGTGCGTGTTTAAACGTGCGTGTTTTAACGTGCGTGTTTAAACGTGCGTGTTTAAACGTGCGTGTTTTAACGTGCGTGTTTAAACGTGCGTGTTTGGACGTGCGTGTTTAAACGTGCGTGTTTGGACGTGCGTGTTTAAACGTGCGTGTTTAAACGTGCGTGTTTAAACGTGCGTGTTTGGACGTGCGTGTTTAAACGTGCGTGTTTAAACGTGCGTGTTTGGACGTGCGTGTTTAAACGTGCGTGTTTGGACGTGCGTGTTTAAACGTGCGTGTTTAAACGTGCGTGTTTAAACGTGCGTGTTTAAACGTGCGTGTTTGGACGTGCGTGTTTAAACGTGCGTGTTTAAACGTGCGTGTTTAAACGTGCGTGTTTTAACGTGCGTGTTAGGTCATGTGTGTTTGGACGTGCGTGTTTAAACGTGCGTGTTTTAACGTGCGTGTTTAAACGTGCGTGTTTAAACGTGCGTGTTTAGATGTGCGTGTTTGGACGTGCGTGTTTAAACGTGCGTGTTTAAACGTGCGTGTTTAAACGTGCGTGTTTAAACGTGCGTGTTTCAACGTGCGTGTTAGGTCATGTGTGTTTGGACGTGCGTGTTTAAACGTGCATGTTTAAACGTGCGTGTTTTAACGTGCGTGTTAGGTCATGTGTGTTTGGACGTGCGTGTTTTAACGTGCGTGTTTAAACGTGCGTGTTTGGACGTGCGTGTTTAAACGTGCGTGTTTTAACGTGCGTGTTTAAACGTGCGTGTCTAAACGTGCGTGTTTAAACGTGCGTGTTTTAACGTGCGTGTTTAAACGTGCGTGTTTAAACGTGCGTGTTTAAACGTGCGTGTTTTAACGTGCGTGTTTTAACGTGCGTGTTAGGTCATGTGTGTTTGGACGTGCGTGTTTAAACGTGCGTGTTTTAACGTGCGTGTTTAAACGTGCGTGTTTTAACGTGCGTGTTTAAACGTGCGTGTTTGGACGTGCGTGTTTAAACGTGCGTGTTTTAACGTGCGTGTTTTAACGTGCGTGTTAGGTCATGTGTGTTTGGACGTGCGTGTTTAAACGTGCGTGTTTAAACGTGCGTGTTTAAACGTGCGTGTTTTAACGTGCGTGTTAGGTCATGTGTGTTTGGACGTGCATGTTTAAACGTGCGTGTTTAAAGGTGCGTGTTTAAACGTGCGTGTTTTAACGTGCGTGTTTAAACGTGCGTGTTTGGACGTGCGTGTTTTAACGTGCGTGTCTAAACGTGCATGTTTAAACGTGCGTGTTTAAAGGTGCGTGTTTAAACGTGCGTGTTTTAACGTGCGTGTTAGGTCATGTGTGTTTGGACGTGCGTGTTTTAACGTGCATGCTTTAACGTGCGTGTTTAAACGTGCGTGTTTTAACGTGCGTGTTTGGACGTGCGTGTTTTAACGTGCGTGTTTTAACGTGCGTGTTTAAACGTGCGTGTTTAAACGTGCGTGTTTTAACGTGCGTGTTTTGACGTGCGTGTTTAAACGTGTGTGTTTGGACGTGCGTGTTTTAACGTGCGTGTTTAAACGTGCGTGTTAGGTCATGTGTGTTTAAACGTGCGTGTTTTAACGTGCGTGTTTTAACGTGCGTGTTAGGTCATGTGTGTTTGGACGTGCGTGGCGAGGTCTTGGTGGAGATGTCCGGCCTCAGTCGTCCCTCAGGAGGACTCGGTTCAGTTTTTGATATTTTCAGACTTCTGAGTCTCTTGGATTCAGCGCTCAGACAAAAACGACCTTTTGTTCCCGTTGTCCACAGAGTTTCAGTGACTGATATGAAAGTTTGATCGAGGTCGTCTGAGGGATAATGTGTGTTTGTTTTATCTCCATCATATGATGTGAAAACAGCGAAGTAAAGCGTTTGAGAAAAGTCGCTGTTTCCCACTGTGAGATTTTAAAAGAATGAAACTGAAGATTCAGGAGAAAGAGGTTCTGGTCCCGGATCGATAATAAGTTCATGACGTTTCCTGAGACATTATTTAAAGAGACCTGATATCATGAATATGATGAACTCTTTATTTTTAATGCTGTCATCCAGAGTCTCTTATATGACGGCAGGTACCTCAGGAAATGTCGTAAACTTGTTTCAGACCCACGACCCTCTTTTCATGAGCTGAACAGTTTTAATGTCTGACTGCGGTAAACGGAGACTTTGTCAGATTGACAGTTTTATGATGATCCTGCTCTCAGTGCAGACCGACTCTGTCCTCGTCAGGATCTCACTGATTCTCTGTTTGATAACGAGTTTATTTCTGAAAACACACAGGAGTAAAAAAAAACTGTTTTTGAGCTTGTCCTTGAACGCAGCGTAGTATCTTCTTCATTCATTAATAATAATAATAATAATTAATAATAATAATTAATTAATTCAGAGAGATGGTTTCCTCTAATCTGGACTTTGGTCTCTCCTCTTCCAGACCGTTCTCCTTGGACCGTTTTGATGATTATCAAAAACATTTCACCGTCATGAACTACGCTGAAGACGTGCAGCTGAAACAGGTGTGTTTGTTCAACTCACTCAACTCGTGTGTGTGTGTGTGTGAGATTGTGTGTGTGTGTGTGTGTAGGACTCAAGATTTTGTGTATTTCTGGTTTTGGTTGATATTTAATCCGATTCTTGTCGGCTGAAGGAGAGTCAGGAGTGTTTGAAGAAAGTTTGGTGTTCAGGAGTAAATCTGAGTGTTTGACGGTTCTTCTCGTTGTCATTGTTTTTGTTGTTGTTGTTGTTGTTGTTGTTGTTTTTGTTGTTGTTGTTGTTGTCATTGTTGTTGTTGTTGTTGTCATTGTTGTTGTCATTGTTGTTGTCGGTGTTGTTTTTGTTGTTGTTGTTGTTGTTTTTGTTGTTGTTGTTGTTGTCATTGTTGTTGTTGTTGTTGTCATTGTTGTTGTCATTGTTGTCGTTGTTGTTGTTGTTGTTGTCATTGTTGTTGTTGTTGTTGTTGTTGTTGTTGTTGTCATTGTCATTATTGTTGTTGTCATTGTTGTTGTTCTTGTTGTTCTTGTTGTTGTCATTGTTGTTCCTGTCGTCGTTGTTTTCATGTTTTTTCTGAAGGTTCACTACGACGAGTTCATCCCCATGTTCGAGGAGCAGTACCCGCTGTTTCCCTGGAAGGAGGTGGAGGTAAAATTTTAACCCTTAGAGAAAATTTCACATATTTTAGGTCGTTGTCAGTAAAGGTGAATCCGTGTTAAATGTTGAGCAGCAGACTCACAGTTCCTGGCACCGCCCCCTTCCCCTCCTCCCTGAGTCCCCGTTTAAAACTGATTTATAGTTCGTAGGAGAAATGAGGATTATCTGAAATAATAATCCGTTGTCTCTAACCCTGAGTCCTGCTGGTCTCAGCATGAACACAAAGACCCTTTTAGAGGATGTAAACGAAGGATCTGTGAAGCTCTCATGTTCTCTCGTTGTGTTGGCATGTTGCTCTGTTATCCGTCTGATAATCTACATCTTCTCCTTGTTTCCGTTTCCTGCGTCTCGCAGGTGAAGCTGTTCAAAGCCTTCAGGGAGACCTTTGAGGCCGCCTCATCACGGCCCGCTCCATTCGGTATCTGTCCTTACCCGTCATCCCGGGCGATTTACGCCGTGGACCTCATGCTGAAGTGGAGCACGGCGCCCAA